CCCCCTTCCTATAACAATTTCTCATCAATCTAACAGAGACATCCTACTGAGGTCTATCCAAGCGGGCTTACTCCCAGGGAAGTGTCCTCAGGATTGGACTATAAAGAGCTCTATCCAAATCCTTAACCACTGAGCTTGCTAATACTTTCTCTTCTTTCAGTTCCTTAGATCAATTTGCCCAATCCCCCATCAAACACAAATCTTATTGGCTCTTGCAACTATGAGTAAATTAATATTACACTTCTATCACATGGCTCTTTCCTAATGATTGTGGCTCCCAAAAATAGGTTGAAGATGATTGCTTGGGCAGCACCCACACAGCACCATGCCATGGACCCAGATGGCTCAGGTTAGCCTGATCTCATCAGATTTTGGAAGCTAAGCAGGGTCAGTTCTGACTAGTATTTGGATGGGAGAACTCCAAGGAATACCAGGAACATGATGCAGAATCAGGCAATGGCAAATCATCCTTGAATGTCTCTTGCCTTGAAAACCCTACAGGGTTACCATAAATTGGCTATGACTTGCTAGCACTTTCCATCACCACAGGGCAAGTGCGCTTTAATGCCTAGAACCATTTGGGCAAGGCCTAAATGTAACTACTGTCAGTAGCATGAGATGGACCCACAGCTCAATTGGCTCTCCTATCACTGCCATAACATACAAAATAGTAAAAAGCTCAGTAGCACCTTTAAGACCAACAAACAGTATTGTAGCATAATTATTACTGTAGCACAAGGGTTTTCAGAAAGCCACACACTTTTTTCCAATCTCACTTCAGTGCCAGTTCCTGTCCTCAGATTCACAGAGAAATCCAAACACTCTTCATTTTTGGTAGAATGACACCCCTCCCCTCCTCCACCTGGCTGTTGTTCATCCTATACGAAGCGGGGTGATTTGGCAAATGCAAGCCAATGCCAGTGGTTTCAATGCAGCACATCAGAACCAGGGCTTCCAATTTCAGCACTAGAGCTAAGGATGCCAGCCTCCAGGTAGGACCTGGGTATCCCCTGGAATTACAGCTCATCTCCAGTCTACAGAGATCAGTTTCCCTGGAAAAAAATTGATGTTCTGGAGGGGTGGACTCTATGGTATTGTGCCCCATTGAGGTCCCTGTTCTCCCCAGACTCCATTCCCAAATCTCCAGGACCTTCCTAACCTGGATTGGGCCACCCTTCCCCTCATCCCCCAGAGGTGGCCAGGGGGAACCTAGCAACCCTAACTAGGGCTATTTTAGCAAGGGAGGGAGGGAGGGAGGGGAGAGGTGGAAAGAAAGCAAATAGATGAGGAGAGAGGAAGGAAGGAAGGAGAGAGATGGGGAAAAAGTAAATAGATGGGGAGGAAAGAAAGAAAGAAAATAGATGGGGAGACAGAAAATACAGAAAGGAGAGGGAGGGGAGGGGAGAGATGGAAAGGGAGGTTCTGCAAGAGCGCATTCTGGTGCCAAGGAATCCTCCTGCTCACAAGCACATGTGCACGCACCCCCACCCCCACCAAGCTCCTACCCTGCCACACATTTTGTTAGTCTTGAAGAACAGAGAACAGCCAGAGGAGATACAAGAAAGAAAGAAAGAAAACCCTCTTCCAAACAACATGGAACCTGTGTGGAAATGCCCTTTGCAGCTCCCCTCTTTCCCCCCATCTCTCTTTCACTAAACGCTTCACCACGAAGCCTGCCAGGTCCCACCACTGGCTTTTGGGTGCATTCAAGCCTGACTAGCGAAGGAATGGGGGAGGGGAAAGCTGGACCCGGAAAAGAGTGTCGCACTTCCTCTTGAGACTCCAATTCATCTGAACAGCCAAAGTCGGGGGTGGCTCCTGAGGAATAACCCCCACGTGGAAGGGAACTGAAGGGGGGGCTGTACACCCACCCAGACCTCACCCAGAGAGCGGAGTTGCTAGCTGGCCAGGAGAAAGTCTCTTGCGTGGAGGTGCAGTGCATGTAAATGGGCAGGTGAGGCTTTCTCACAGCCCAGAGGGAAATCACATTCCCCTGGCTGACTGG